CTTGCAATGATCACTATCACTTAAATATTCCCTGCTAACACTTAATCCACTTGACCTACCTGATTTCACAGAAACAGTGCCCGAAATGTCTCCTTTATTAGATCAAAAATATACAGATCCAGTAAATTTTCATGAATGTAATTAATAAATTTCATGCCCTCTACAGTATACATTTACATAATTATACACTAAGATGCACTAGAATAGTAAAAGTGCCACATTAAAACTATCCCACAATTTGTGCACTCTTCTAACCTCCCTCCCAATATGTTCATCTATATCTTTCCAATTAGTGGTGGTGTATATAATACATCCATTAATATATGATATTGCTACTGTTTCTAAGCTTTAACCAAACAGATTTTGCCTTTCGCCACTCTCAGACATCCTCTCTCCAGCACATAATGTTTGTATTAAATCAATATTATAATAACCCCCTTACTTAGAGGCAAGGTGTTCAGCAAAGACAAGAAGAATTTGGTTCCCAGTTCAGACCACCTTTGAACCAAGTTTCTTTTGTCACCACACCATCATTATGCATTAGGTTATCAGTTTACCAATCTTATTTTGCAAAACTGTCACTTTCAAATACATGTACAGTAAACCTAATTTAGACCCCACTTGCTCTCAGAACTAATAACTTGATATTACTTACTCTAGATCGGTCTATCCAATTTCTCTGTGCACCTTGTGTGTACCTGGTTTTTATCCCCCCCTGAACTATTACCTTCTAGTTGCAACATTCCTGCTAAATGAATTTAATCCCTCCCCAAAAACACTAGCAAAAAAAAAGTAGAAGTGACAGATAAAACTCATCAGGTTTCTGTTCAGGAGTAACCATTTCAACCTAGACAGGACAGACCTAATGCAGATATTCTAGGCACTTAAAACCCTCTCTGCTTCAACACTTCAATGACACAGTCAAATGCTCTCTTCTTAGTGTTTATGCTCACTAGCATAGGATACCAGTAGTAATCTGGAGATTATTAATTGTGGAGGTTCAGCTTGCTACTCTTTCCTAATTTTCTAAAATTTGTCTGCAGAACTACATATTGCTATCAACGTGGACCATGACCACTGGTGGTTTCCCCCTCCACCTTCAGTGAACTCTGGGGCCACTAAGTGACATCCTTTATTCTGGTACCATGGAGGCAACAGATTACCTCTGGAATTAAGTTTACTTCTGGAGAAGCATTTGTCTATTTCCCCAAGTATCAAATTCCCTTTCACTATTGCTGGAGAATCTCAGCAGGTTTGGCAGCATCTCTAGAGAGAGAAACAGAGCAGATTCTAAAGTTCTGAAGAAGAATCTTACCAAAGTTAATTTTTTTTCCTTTCTCCAGAGATGCTGCAAATGGGATGTGTACAATTATATATTTTGAATGATTGACTAAAATCTAAATGGGAACACAGTATATTAATAACGTAATAAGACAGTAATTTTGTGCAAATGTATGTAATTACTTTTACAAGTAATTACCATTCAAATCTTTTGAGAAGAGCAGCAGTAGCATTAAAATAAGGAATGAATGACTAAGCAGTTAAGTGTAGAACCAATACTCTAGTACAAATAAACACAAGTAATTTTAGCGGTCACAAGGCAAAAATTGGAGATTACAGAAGTTTAAGGATGTACAATTCTTTAATTATGTAGCAAATAGTACATGTTTTTTACTTCCAGTCTTCCAATACAAGTGGCTATATTTAAACAATCTTTCTTGCCATATGCATCCTTTTCCATGCTCTCAAATTTTCCTCTATCTGCAAAATTTCACTGTCAACAGTCCAAGTTTATAAAAAAACTGTAAATAGACTCAATCACTACTGTACTATCCTGCCTGGAAGCACAGAATTGAAGAAGTTGCTATGACCAGAATAGTAATTCAAACTAAATTCAGAACCAAAATTCCAATCTACATTAATGTGGCGTGCGACTGGGAAAAGGGATGGAATCTATGTTGTTCAATGAACCACTCCCACCTTGCATTACAATCACGAGATTTTTCTGGGGTAACAAAGTAGCCCAGGTACTTTGGTCCAAAGGGAATAAAACAATCCTTGAAACTCATGGCAGATCATTTAGCAATGTTATATTTCTCTGGAGTTATTGAGAAGAGTTTATATTCAAACACTCAGAAGATATGGAGTGTTCAATAAAGATCATATGCCAATGCCAATACTGCCACTTGGTAAAGCTGAGGGAGCTATAACAAGGGGAGGCGATGGTCTAGTGGTATTATTGCTAGACTATTAATCCAGAGACCCAGATAACATTCTGGGGACCTGGGTTCGAATCCCGCCATGGCAGATGGTGGAGTTCGAATTCAATAAAATATCTGGAATTAAGAATCTAATGATGACCATGAATCCATTGTTGATTGTCAGGAAAAACCCATTTACTAATGTCCTTTAGGGAAGGAAACTGCCAGCCTTACCTGGTCTGGCTGACATGTGACTCTGGACCCACAGCAAATTTGGTTGACTCAACTGTGCTCTGGGCAATAAATGCTGCCCAGCCAACGACGCCCTCATCCCATTAATGAATAAAAAGGAAAAAAAAAAAAAAAAAAAAAACACATTCAGCAAGCAATCAAGGCTAAAATCTCAAGCTTGGACATCTGTGTCCATGCATTTCCTAACCTTATTTGTGCAAGTAAGAAGATTTTAAACATGTATTATTTAAAGTTACAATTCTATATTTCTAGATTGCAGAAAAAAAAAGTGCCTTCAACCACCTGCAACCGTAGGCAAATTCACGAAAAGCAGCTATGTTCGGTCATCTGTAAACAGTTGTATGACAACTGATATAGTTCAGAACCCCAAAGCAAAGCAATCTTAAGGTCTTGAATTGTAGATAAAGAGGATTACCCTGTTGGAAAAAAATTGCCCGAGTGCTCACTGAATGTCAGGAACAATTTTGTGCAACGTTTAAAATAACGAATGAAGCCGACAAACATCCAACCTTTTTCTGGTTCGTGGACAAGATGCAACCTCCCCAGTAGTTTTCCTTCCCCAGTAATTAGTTGTAAAAATGTTACATTTCCTAAGCTAACTATAAAGATGAGGGAGGAACTGACCACAGTTGTTTGGAAAAGATATGTAAAATAAAATCTCTTGCAATTTTCTCTTGTAAAAGAGAGAGGCAAAAGTGGACATTGGACCACTGGAAAAGTGAGGCTGGAGAAGTAGTAATGGGGAAAAACAAGGGCAGAGGAACAGAATAAGTTTTTTGCATCAGTTCTCACAGTATGCCAAAGTCAGGGAGGCAGAGATGAGTGAAGTGGCCATCACTAAGGAGAAGGTGTTGGGGAATCTGAAAGGTCTGAAGGTTGATAAATAGACGGACGACACACCAGAGTTCTGAAGGAGATAGCCGAGGAGATTGTGCAGATATTGCTGGTGATCTTTCAAAAATCACTGAAGTCACACAGGGTTCCCACTTGACTACAGAATGACTAATGTAACACCCCTGTTTAACAGAGGGAGGTATAAGACAGGAAATTATAGCCTGGTTAGCCTGACCACGTTCACCGATAAGATCAGAGAGTCCATTATTAAGGACGAGACTGTGGAGCGCTAGGAAGTGCATGGTAAAATAGGGCTGAGTCAGCATGGCTTTGTCAAGGGGAGGTCAGACCTGACAAATCTGTTAGAATTCAGAGGTGGTAATGAGCAAGTTAGACAAAATAGAGCCAGGTGAATGTGATCTATTTAGATTTCCAGGAGGCCTTTGACAAGGTCCACACAGGAAGCTGATAAATAAGCTAACAGCCCATGGTCTTAGGGGCAAGGCACTGGCATGGATAGAGATTGGCTGACTGGCAGAGGGCAGAGACTAGAGTTAAAGGAGTCTTTTTCAGGATGGTAGCTGGTGACTAGTGGAGTTTCATAGAGGTCAGTTTTGGGACCATAAACTTATACACTAACGATCTGGATAAAGGTACTGAGTTTGCAGATGACAGAAAGATGGGTAGACAGACAAGTAGTGTTGAGGAAATGACGAGGCTGAAGAAGGACTTGGACAGGGTAGGAGATTGGGAAAAGAAGTGGCAAATGGAATACAATGTGGGATAACGAGAGATTATGCACTTTGGTCAGAAGAACAGAGGCATTGACTATCATCTAAAACAGGAAAAGGCTTTGGAAATCTGAAGCACAAAATTACTTGAGTCCTACTTCAGAATTCTCCAGGATAATATGGCAGTTAGGAAGGCAAATGCAATACTAACATTCATTTCAAGAGGGCAAGAATACAACAGTAGAAATGTACTGTTGAGAGTGTCTATGGTCAGCCCTCATTTGGAGTATCGTCAGCAGTTTTAGGCTACGTAGGAAAGGATGTGCTGTCCTTCGAGGGGGTCCAAAAGGAGGTTTACAAGAATGATCCCAGTGTTGAAGGACTTGCCACATGAGGAGCAGTTGTGTATTCTGGGTCTGTACTCAATGGAGTTTAGAAGGATGGGGTGGGGTGGATTTGATTGAAACCTACAGAATGCAGAGAGGACTGGATAGGTTGGATGTGGAGATGACATTTCTACTAGTAAGAGAAACTAGGAACTGACGGCAAAGCCTCAGAGTGAAGGGAAAGCCTTTTAGAACCGAGATAAGAGGAATTTCTTCACTCACAGGGCGCTCAATCTGTGGTGCTCATTGTTGACGTAGCCTCCACAGCCCTAGTCATTGAATTTATTTAACAGAGATAGATATGTTCCGAATTAGAAAGGAGATCAAAGGTTACAGGGAGGAAAGTAGGAGAGTGGGATTGAGAAACACATCAGCCATGATCGAATGGCAAAGCAGACTTGATGGGCTGAATGACCTAATTCTGCTCCTAGATCTTATGGTTTCATGGCCTAAGTGCTCTGTTTAAAACACACCGACTAACTATTACCTGAACCAACATAACTCTTGCATTTCAGTTCAAACAATATCATGTATTAACATGCCACAGTGCTTCTTTGAAATGACTACATGTTTAAAATGGATCACATAACACTTACCGAAAAGGACCCAATTAGGACTGCTGCATTTGCTTGTTTCTTCTGATCACAACCTGTGTAATGAACTATTTTCTTCCTTCCCATGGTAAACGACTACAATAAAAACAAAATGATCACAATGCAACTAAAGCTATATGTAGTAAGCTAAGTGACAAACGTTATCTATAATTTAAGAGTGTTTGGAACATGTTGCCTTATGTTGACAATGCACTTTTCAATTTTGCTGGAAACAGCATGTCGGTTTTAAAACTATTTAGTTTAATTAGTCAATTTCCCTGGTGATGTGCAAAGTAAATCACAATAGCTTATCAGTTGAGTGGGGTGAGGGGATAATTGGATCAGAGACAAGTGGCAAATGTAACTTGCAAATTGCAATGCTCCATCAATACCTCATGATCAGAGGTACAGTCTTTCAGATGAGAGGTTAAACTGAGGCTTGATCCAGGGTCGGGTGCCAGGGGTGGGAGGAGGACATAAGGTAAAAGATTCTAGTATTATATCTCAGACAACATCACTAGGAGGCATTATTATTTCACTACAATAATGTTCTAATGCTCTTTCATTGCAGTGCACATGCTGGCTGACGAATTTTCTACAATACAACAGCGACGACAATTCAAAGATACTTAATCAGCTATAGTAGGAACTGCAGATGCTGGAGAATCTGAAATAACAAGGTGTAGAGCTGGATGAACACAGCAGGCCAAGCAGCATC